TTTTCATAAAACGACAAGCCGGAGAACCAGTAAAGATCGTTGCTTTACTAACAGACAACAATTTGCTATATGCTACAGTTTAAAAGAACCGTTCAAAAGAATCTTACTTCCAATATCTAAAAAAACTTGTACGCATTACGATGAGTACCTTAAAACGTCACTACTTGCAGGTTTAATTAAACAATGTAGTAAATACTTCTAAAAATTTATCAGTTAGCTATTTAACAATAGCAGAAATTGCAAAAACAAACAAGCAAAAAAATATCAACGTACTAACCCAACAATACTTTCAAAAGCAACCTTAAGAAGATTTCCTTGTCATAAAAAAGCCATATCCAGTCGCGTTCGTTTTTTTATCCTGTTCTGAAACTGCTTATCACTAATCAATCCAAAAATTATAAGCTGGCACAAAAGTTTGTATCTTTAGTTGAAGAATTTACGCTGAAATTTCAGATGTTTATTACGTACATAAGCGCGTCTATGGCCCAGGTCCAGTTCAACTATACAGGAAATATGACTGACATTGTCGATTTCTGAAAACAAAAAAGAAAAGAATCGACTGTAATCATACCTCTTCAGATTAGATGATACGCATATCATACTAGGTTTACTACAACTAAGGCTAAGAGAAAAAGCTCATAATAGTGTAAATTTGTCAATACACTAAATTACCGTCACCAGTCAGACAAAAATTTGTAAATGTCTTTCAAAAAATGATAAAAGCGCTTCAAGGAAAAACGGCAAATAAGTGGAAAACAACCAGTCAGCGAATTAAATTCGAACGAAAAAATATGACGTCAATGATACATTCTCACAGAAAAATAACTTCTGCTGGCATAAGTTGGGCAAAGTGACCAAAATGTGCAGAAAGTACAAAACAGTGGCGATACGTCATGCAGAGAAATTAGGATTTCCGTTATCAGCTACCACCGGCGAGACAAAACTCAGCAGTGCGCTTCTTAAACCCCGCTAATTCGTTACCTTTCTATTCGTTCAGGCTACCCTGATCAAGCTTTACAGAACTGTCATCTCCAAAACAATCACTGAGATAACCAAACGCATGAAAATCAAGTAGTAAATGCGTCATAGTTTCTTTTCTCTCAATGCAATTTGAAAAATTCATTTGTATGCTCAAAAATGCCATAATTTTCTTTCCCTCAAGTACCCTAAACAAATAAAGAAGTGGAGAGGTAAGCTATACAAAAGGCAATAGGAAGATTTTACACGTCATAAGCATATTTTTAAGCTTATATTGTTTTTTTGCTCACAAAACTTAGTTTCAATAATTAAATCTTATGAAAGTAAATT